CATCCTGCGAGGACCATTGCGTTTAGCATCCTGCGAGGACCATTGCTTTTAGCATCCTGCGAGGACCATTGCTTATAGCATCCTGCGAGGACCATTGCTTTTAGCATCCTGCGAGGACCATTGCTTTTAGCATCCTGCGAGGACCATTGCTTTTAGCATCCTGCGAGGACCATTGCTTATAGCATCCTGCGAGGACAATTGCTTATTGCATCCTGCGAGGACAATTGCTCATAGCATCCTGCGAGGACCATTGCTCAAAGCATCTAACGTGAATCATTGCTCATAGAATCCAACGTGCACCATTGCTTATAGCATCCAACGTGATCATTGCTTATAGCATCCAACGTGGATCATTGCTCATAGAATCAAACGTGGATCATTGCTCGTAGCTTCCAACGTGCATCATTGCTCATAGAATCAAACGTGGATCATTGCTCACAGAATCCAACGTGGATCATTGCTCGTAGCATCCAACGTGCATCATTGCTCGTAGCATCCAACGTGGATCATTGCTCATAGAATCCAACGTGGATCATTGCTCATAGCATCTCACTCATAGCATCCAACGTTGATCATTGCTCATAGCATCCAACGTGGATCATTGCTCATAGAATCCAACGTGGATCATTGCTCATAGCATCCAACGTGGATCATTGCTCATAGAATCCAACGTGGATCATTGCTCATAGCATCCAACGTGGATCATTGCTCATAGCATCCAACGTTGATCATTGCTTATAGCATCCAACGTGATCATTGCTCATAGCATCCAACGTGGATCATTGCTCATAGCATCCAACGTGGATCATTGCTCATAGAATCCAACGTGATCATTGCTCATAGCATCCAACGTGGATCATTGCTCATAGCATCCAACGTGGATCATTGCTTATAGCATCCAACGTGGATCATTGCTCATAGCATCCAACGAGGATCATTGCTCATAGCATCCAACGTGGATCATTGCTCATAGCATCCAACGTGGATCATTGCTTATAGCATCCAACGTGGATCATTGCTCATAGCATCCAACGTGGATCATTGCTCATAGCATCCAACGTGGATCATTGCTCATAGAATCCAACGTGGATCATTGTTCATAGCATCCAACGTGATCATTGCTCATAGAATCCAACGTGGATCATTGTTCATAGCATCCAACGTGGATCATTGTTCATAGCATCCAACGTGGATCATTGCTTATAGCATCCAGCGTGGATCATTGCTTATAGCATCCAACGTGGATCATTGCTCATAGCATCTCACTCATAGCATCCAACGTGGATCATTGTTCATAGCATCCAACGTGGATCATTGCTCATAGCATCCAGCGTGGATCATTGTTCATAGCATCCAACGTGGATCATTGCTTATAGCATCCAACGTTGATCATTGCTCGTAGCATCCAACGTGATCATTGCTCATAGCATCCAACGTGATCATTGCTCACAGAATCCAACGTGGATCATTGCTCATAGCATCCAACGTGGATCATTGCTCATAGAATCCAACGTGATCATTGCTCATAGCATCCAACGTGATCATTGCTCATAGAATCCAACGTGGATCATTGCTCATAGCATCCAACGTGGATCATTGTTCATAGCATCCAACGTGGATCATTGCTCATAGCATCCAACGTGATCATTGCTCATAGAATCCAACGTGGATCATTGTTCATAGCATCCAACGTGGATCATTGCTTATAGCATCCAGCGTGGATCATTGCTCATAGCATCCAACGTGGATCATTGCTCATAGCATCTCACTCATAGCATCCAACGTGGATCATTGTTCATAGCATCCAACGTGGATCATTGCTTATAGCATCCAGCGTGGATCATTGCTTATAGCATCCAACGTGGATCATTGTTCATAGCATCCAACGTGGATCATTGCTTATAGCATCCAACGTGGATCATTGCTCATAGCATCCAACGTGGATCATTGCTCATAGCATCCAGCGTGGATCATTGCTCATAGCATCCAACGTGGATCATTGCTCATAGCATCCAACGTGGATCATTGCTTATAGCATCCAACGTGGATCATTGCTCATAGCATCCAGCGTGGATCATTGCTCATAGCATCCACCGTGGATCATTGCTCATAGCATCCAACGTGGATCATTGCTTATAGCATCCAACGTGGATCATTGCTCATAGCATCCAACGTGGATCATTGCTTATAGCATCCAGCGTGGATCATTGCTCGTAGCATCCAGCGTGGATCATTGCTTATAGCATCCAACGTGGATCATTGCTCACAGAATCCAACGTGGATCATTGCTCGTAGCATCCAACGTGGATCATTGCTCATGGAATTCAACGTGGATCATTGCTCATAGCATCCAACGTGGATCATTGCTCATAGAATCCAACGTGATCATTGCTCATAGAATCCAACGTGATCATTGCTCATAGAATCCAACGTGGATCATTGCTCATAGCATCCAACGTGGATCATTGTTCATAGCATCCAACGTGGATCATTGCTCATAGCATCCAACGTGATCATTGCTCATAGAATCCAACGTGGATCATTGTTCATAGCATCCAACGTGGATCATTGCTTATAGCATCCAGCGTGGATCATTGCTCATAGAATCCAACGTGGATCATTGCTCATAGCATCCAACGTGGATCATTGCTCATAGCATCCAACGTGATCATTGCTCATAGCATCCAACGTGGATCATTGTTCATAGCATCCAACGTGGATCATTGCTTATAGCATCCAGCGTGGATCATTGCTTATAGCATCCAACGTGGATCATTGCTTATAGCATCCAACGTGGATCATTGTTCATAGCATCCAACGTGGATCATTGCTTATAGCATCCAGCGTGGATCATTGCTCATAGCATCCAACGTGGATCATTGTTCATAGCATCCAACGTGATCATTGCTTATAGCATCCAACGTGGATCATTGCTTATAGCATCCAGCGTGGATCATTGCTCATAGCATCCAACGTGGATCATTGTTCATAGCATCCAACGTGGATCATTGCTTATAGCATCCAACGTGGATCATTGCTTATAGCATCCAGCGTGGATCATTGCTCATAGCATCCAACGTGGATCATTGCTCATAGCATCCAACGTGGATCATTGCTCGTAGCATCCAGCGTGGATCATTGCTCATAGCATCCAACGTGGATCATTGCTCATAGCATCCAACGTGGATCATTGCTCATAGCATCCAACGTGGATCATTGCTCATAGCATCCAACGTGGATCATTGCTCGTAGCATCCAACGTGGATCATTGCTTATAGCATCCAACGTGGATCATTGCTTATAGCATCCAGCGTGGATCATTGCTCATAGCATCCAACGTGGATCATTGCTCATAGCATCCAACGTGGATCATTGCTCATAGAATCCAACGTGATCATTGCTCATAGAATCCAACGTGATCATTGCTCATAGAATCCAACGTGGATCATTGCTCATAGCATCCAACGTGGATCATTGTTCATAGCATCCAACGTGGATCATTGCTCATAGCATCCAACGTGATCATTGCTCATAGAATCCAACGTGGATCATTGCTCATAGCATCCAACGTGGATCATTGCTTATAGCATCCAACGTGGATCATTGCTCACAGAATCCAACGTGATCATTGCTCATAGAATCCAACGTGGATCATTGCTCATAGCATCCAACGTGGATCATTGCTTATAGCATCCAACGTGGATCATTGCTCACAGAATCCAACGTGATCATTGCTCATAGAATCCAACATGGATCATTGCTCATAGCATCCAACGTGGATCATTGCTTATAGCATCCAACGTGGATCATTGCTTATAGAATCCAACGTGATCATTGCTCATGGAATTCAACGTGGATCATTGCTCATAGCATCCAACGTGATCATTGCTCATAGAATCCAACGTGGATCATTGCTCATAGCATCCAACGTGGATCATTGCTTATAGCATCCAACGTGGATCATTGCTCACAGAATCCAACGTGATCATTGCTCATAGAATCCAACGTGGATCATTGCTCATAGCATCCAACGTGGATCATTGCTTATAGCATCCAACGTGGATCATTGCTTATAGAATCCAACGTGATCATTGCTCATGAAATTCAACGTGGATCATGGCTCATAGCATCCAACGTGGATCATTGCTTATAGCATCCAACGTGGATCATTGCTCACAGAATCCAACGTGATCATTGCTCATAGAATCCAACGTGGATCATTGCTCATAGCATCCAACGTGGATCATTGCTTATAGCATCCAACGTGGATCATTGCTCACAGAATCCAACGTGATCATTGCTCATAGAATCCAACGTGGATCATGGCTCATAGCATCCAACGTGCATCATTGCTCATGGAATTCAACGTGGATCATTGCTCATAGCATCTCATTCATTCTTTGTTTCCAGAGGGAATAGAAAACTAGAAAACTAATCACACTTATACGTGTGTGTGTGTGTGTGTGTGTGCGTGCGTGCGTGCGTGCGTGCGTATGTGTACAAATATTCAACTTTCATGTACTGCATTGTGGCGACATCCGTTCAGCTATCATGACAACCATTGTTTATATTGACAACTGCATGATCAGTCAACCACAGAACCATTTGTCTGTGGTATCATAAGTGCTGGTTAATGCTTATCAGTCCCAAGTCAACCGCCACCTTCCTGGTCCTGAAGAAACTGAAACCCGTTATCCAACCCAATTGGCACCAACTGTCAATTTGCACTTCAGGACACCGTAGGGATATGCATCTCTCTGTAACCCGACACACGACGCAACAAGGACAACAGTATATAGAGCAACCAATATATTCACGACATCGATCCCTACCACACGACCTGCCTTGTCTACACCCATCTTCTCACACTACTTAATTCACCTTAACAAAGAGATACAGGCTTACAAATTGACCCAGCCGGCATTATCAACCAATCGAGACTTCACGGTTCAGGGGCTGTATGTAGACACAATGCCCGATGCACCAGTGTTTTAAATAATGAAAATGCTGGAGACAAAATGTTGATAGCGACAGCCGTCGCGCGACTGTCTTGGCAACGTGTCCAATATAATTGATCACCACTGTTGGCAAAGTTTCATTCGTCTCGCCAGTCTCCATCGAAAAGGTTCGAGCGAGTTCGTCTTTGGCAGGTCACATACTGTTCTAAGCTCAACATGGTGAGTATAATATTGTAGTTACATCGTTAGCACTGTGTGATGCGACTGCTGTTGATATGGACGCCTTGGTGTTTTGGGTACATAGTTCTGACGCAGGACCAACATTGTATAACTTTAGACGCTCGCTGGCAGGTACTTGTGGCATGGAACTTCTATTGGCATTAAGGTTGATAAACCGGTTCTAGAACCTAGTTCTAAATTCAATCATGTAAATAATTCGACTTACCACGGCAGAGATTTATTGCAATATCCAAATGTGCCATCAAATAGGTATCGAGGGCAACAGAAGAGAAAATGTTCGGAATCACATTCTTGATGACAGTTAACAACATGAGTGGTTTGTTTAGTCATTAAATGCAGAGCGTCTCAGTTTTGGTCACGTGAAGGGGTGTTGTGGAGAGTGTTTGCAGGTTCATGCAATTAATATGAATATAACTACACCTACAAGTATATATTAAGTATACGCTGCAGTATTGAAGGAAGAACTAAGTCAACCATATAGCCATTTGTCCGTGACGGCATCAGTGACATTTGTTAGGAAAGGATGAGTGAAATAGTGTGAAGTCATGGAGGCTTTCGTCTACTAATAGCGACATCGATATATGTTGTTTACTAGTTTGTCAGATCTAAGCCATAACCTTAGATCGGATTATCAATAAGGCAACAATGACTGAAATGAATATATAATGTCATTCTGCTGTTTGTCACGAGTGTCTGAAGTCTTGTATTTCCCGAGCGAGAGCGAGATTAATACATGAATTCTTACGCGAGGTTCGTAAAATCAGAATGATACACACGTAAGTCTAATAATCTCTTTATTATCCATTATTTCTTAATCCTTCTGAGCTCCCCTTTAGAAAAATGCACTAATCACCGCCGCTGTCCTAGAAACCCATAATTGGCCTAATGACGTCAACAATCTTCAGCTATGACGTCATTTCTGGAATTTTAACAGTAGCAGGTGACCTCGCCTAGATGAACACTACCAAGCTGACTGTCGTTCATTTCCCGATGAACGTCAGTATGTCACGTGATTACGTTGTCAATCGCGCGGAGACATCCTTAACTACTATAGGGGAATTCCTCAATGTCTAAAAATAACATTAAAAATAATTAGGGAAAACTGAGAGCTACATCGATATAGGCTATGAATGATGCAGGCTTTGACGTCAGATCATGTCGGGTCACCGAAATGAACCGTCCATTCGAAGCTAGAACAGAGAATGCTCGACTTATCAAAAGAAATCACCAAGCTACACACTATCGTACCTCGGGAAATCCAACCGCGCCGCCTCAAGCGGTAATGGGCAGCCGTAGTATGACTCAAACACACACCAAAAGTTCACAGAACGTTAATATGTATCCATTTTCAGCATGTGCCGGGTCTGTATTTCTTTCCAACGCTCATTTTACTGGGTGCAACTTGCATTTCAAGCGAATGACATTGCGGTAGCCGCCATTTTCTGCCGTTTGTAAAACCAAGGGATGTCACTCCAAATTGAAAGTTTGGGACGGATGACGTCTCGACTCTCCGCGTTGATATAGTTCGCTTTCAATAATTAAAGTTTGATGTTTAATGGATTGTTTTATGATTTATGAATCTATCAATATAAGGATTGAAGTTGTATTTGTTGACGTTCATCAGCTGATGAACGTCAAAAAATGCAACTTCAATCCTTACGTGACGTTATTCCGACTTTACGTCATAATAAGATTCAATAAAGTCGTCCTGATGACGGAAATAATACACTGGTGCGCGAGCAGTGATATTTGCACTAGTGCACATAAGAATGTTATGAACTCGGTTATTTCTAACCCTACGGATAATAACGATACTTATTCTTTGAGACACAGAGCGATGTGCCCGAGTAAAAGGCCTCCTAGACCCGTTTAGAGTCAAGGTTAACACACGACACTCGCAGTTCATACGAAAGTACACATTACGACCTATGGACACAGCAAAAAGTTGTCTCTACTTTCTTACTATGTGGCTTAGATCGCAAACGTAACCTTTCATGTTTCCATTTCAATTAAAAAAATATCCCTTTAAATGCATTCACACACAAGGTTGTCTAAATCTGCGCAAACGAAGCCCATCTTGTCTCCATTGACTGCCGAGATTGAATGGATTGAAACGTGGTGTCGACGGGTCTCTAACGTAACGGTCGTCTGTGTCGCACGTGCAAAACATTAAACGGGGTGTCACGTCATATGCGTTGGTGACGTGGACAGACATGTGATGAACAAGTTCGCTGCGGAATGGAATGACTGTACATTCGTTATTTCGTGAGCCGTAACTCGTTCGATTCGCGCACAGCCCCTCTTAATATCTCGTGATACACTCACAATTCAACAACTGACACATGGTCTACAGTTTGTTTGTTGTTTAACGCCGCACTCAGCAATATTCCAACTATATGACGGCAGTCTGTAAATAATCGAGTCTGGACAAGACAATCCAGTGATTGACATCATGAGCATCGATCTACGCAACTGGGATGACATGCATCAACCAAGTCAGCGAGCCTGACCACCCGATCCCGTTAGTCGCCTCTAACGACATGCATAGTCGCCTCTTACGGCAAGCATTGGTTACTGAAGACCTCTTCTAACCCGGATATTCACGGGTACTTGATCCATAGAGGTCTTTTCACGCATAGGGTTAATTTCAACCTTATTCATTGTTCCAGAGGGAATGTATCTCCATCCACGTCGGCCAGGCCGGATGTCAGATGGGCAATGCATGCTGGGAGTTGTATTGTCTGGAGCACGGCATCCAGCCTGATGGTCAGATGCCCTCAGACAAGACCCTCGGGGGTGGGGACGACTCTTTCAACACCTTCTTCAGCGAGACTGGAGCAGGGAAACACGTCCCCAGGGCCGTCTTCGTCGACCTTGAACCTACAGTTGTCGGTAAGTGCCGTGTTTAGTGGATGATGTGTAGACTTTGTTCATTGTATGACGTCATACCTTTACTACTTTATTACTCTCTGATATGATATCTATAAATTAATACAGAAGTGTAAACGTCATCGTGGTGAATCTAAGGACGCAAACAGTGTGTCATTGACGCTACACGAAATTAATTATTCAATGACTTTTAAACATTCGCTTTAAAAGAATCGTTTCTTTTGTTATAAAAGATGAGGTCCGTACCGGCACCTACCGCCAGCTGTTCCACCCCGAGCAACTGATCACCGGCAAGGAGGACGCCGCCAACAACTACGCCCGTGGTCACTACACAGTTGGCAAGGAGCTCATTGACCTTGTCCTTGACCGAATCAGGAAACTAGCTGACCAGTGCACTGGACTCCAGGGCTTTCTCATTTTCCACAGCTTCGGTGGTGGCACTGGCTCCGGCTTCACTTCACTGCTTCTTGAGCGCCTCAGCGTTGACTACGGCAAGAAATCCAAGCTAGAGTTTGCTATCTATCCAGCTCCTCAGGTCTCTACTGCTGTCGTGGAGCCCTACAACTCCATCTTGACTACCCACACCACCCTGGAGCACTCTGATGTCGCCTTCATGGTCGACAACGAGGCTATTTACGATATCTGCAGACGTAACCTTGACATTGAGCGTCCAACGTACACCAACCTAAACCGTCTGATTGGTCAAATCGTCAGCTCCATCACTGCCTCTCTCCGATTTGACGGTGCCCTGAACGTTGATCTGACCGAGTTTCAGACCAACTTGGTGCCCTACCCACGTATCCACTTCCCTCTGGCTACCTATGCACCAGTTATCTCCGCCGAGAAAGCCTACCACGAACAACTCTCTGTCGCGGAAATTACCAACGCTTGTTTCGAGCCCGCCAACCAGATGGTGAAATGCGACCCCCGACACGGTAAATACATGGCCTGTTGTCTGCTGTACCGTGGTGATGTCGTACCAAAAGATATCAATGCTGCCATCGCCACAATCAAGACCAAGAGAACCATCCAGTTCGTCGACTGGTGTCCCACTGGTTTCAAGATCGGCATCAACTACCAACCACCAACTGTTGTCCCCGGTGGAGACCTGGCCAAGGTCCAGAGAGCCGCCTGCATGTTGGCAAATACAACAGCTATCGCCGAGGCCTGGGCTCGCCTTGACCACAAGTTCGACCTGATGTACGCCAAGCGTGCCTTCGTCCACTGGTACGTGGGTGAGGGTATGGAGGAGGGAGAGTTCTCCGAGGCCCGTGAAGACTTGGCAGCCCTGGAGAAGGACTACGAAGAGGTCGGTATTGATTCCGTGCAGGATGAACAGGAAGAAGGAGAGGAATACTAGACGCGGAACCATGGCATCGATGTTTTTAGTTAAATGAATACTCCGATTACTGTATCTTTTTGGTTTTGCCGTTTGAATATGGTCTCTCCGTACCCTTGTTACTTAATGGATACCAGTGTTGATATACTGTATAGAAATGAATAAAGTATCACTATCATCTACTTATTCCATTTGTTTTGCTTTCCATCAGCATAACAGAGGCCGAGATGGTGGTATGTGTCTAGCTTTTCTATTATTCATTTATTCATTGATGGAGTCGACTTAGTGGAACGAGCTTTTGATTTTCGTTTGAGTCTACTGTCGAAGTACAATTAAATATACTACCGACAAAACACAAGGGAACTGATGAAATAGTAGTGAAGGTTCAATGACGATAAATGTCTGTAAAATAAATTTTGGGCGTGTAGATCACTATCAGGTGTGTCCACCATGTTTGGCGATACATATACAGTTATGTCACGGCGTCTCAGCTTCACGCGGGAGGAAAGCCCGAAGCGATGCGACTGTAGACATCTATCGGTTTGGTGAAACCATCGAGCATGGTTATGGTGCTGACAACCAAGAACCATTCTACTTAGAATAACGACTGGTCTGTCTGATCCAAACTCCATTATTCACAGGACGTTGTGATACATTTGTGAAACGCTGGTATCCTAAACCTAATCTTCAATGCTTTGGATCTCTTCCGTAATGTTGGCCGCCGATACATTCAACAAAATATCTGATAGTTATTTAGCGCCAGTTATATCACGACGTTTCAGCATGATGTGGAAGGAAAGCCAAAAGTGACGACGGTCCATCAGTGAGTGAATGAGTGAGCATCGATTTGATTTGTAGGTGGGAGGGTGGGAGGTAATTTTATTTAGAACAATCTATTTTTCCCCAGCTAAAATCCAACAAACTTTGTATTTACAGAGCACGATCAAACAATCTAGTTATTTTCACCATTAACACAAACATGCATTGTCCACATAACAAATTATTCATTTTTTTCACCACTGCTAACTATTCATTTTGGAAATATTTTCTGAACAGACTATTCAGTTTAAACATTTTAGTCAACTTATCTTGAAAGGGATGGGTAAACAGGCCTACCTGTATATATTTATATATATATATATATATAGTCAACTTATCTTGAAAGGGATGGGTAAACAGGCCTAGCTGGCTTATGTAAATACCGCTTCCTGTTACATATTTACATTTACGTTAACATCAAACAGTAAGGCCAAGTAACAATACATCTTATATAATAAGAACAGGCATATAAACTTTATATACTTCAATGTACAAACCACTATTTTCTATAAAATGGTCAGACATTAGTATGTTGTGGTTGACATCTCTTGTTAAATTGTTGTTACCATACAATGCTGTTTTCAGATCAAGACCTTTTATGTAGTAGTACACTGTGCTTCTAATGTGATGATAAGTAGGACAAGTAAAGAGGAAGAGAAGTGGAGACTCCAAATAAACATAAAAAACACACTGACAAGCTGACTATGTAATTACATATTATCAACAATGGCATTTATATCATAAGAAAAAGCAAAGGACCCAATACAGATCCCTGAGGTTCACCGGCTACTCTGTGTGATCGATTGGATATGGATCGATTTGTATAAATGAAACTATTCATTTACACCCCCACCCCCCTTCACTAACCCCCTTTAGAAATCACATGTATACTCCCTAAGTTGTTTTTAAGGCCGCTTTGAACAGTATTTCACTACCATCATGACGTATCGGCATACTGCAGATGCCTAGATTTGCTTGGCCTGTTTACCTTCATGTGTTCATGTGTTTTCCTCTGAGTATTCATATATTCATGAACCACGCGTGATATATACGCGTGTGCTTGTTTCTTTTGCTACATATAAGTTATAAGTTAAAGAAAGCCGTTAAAGTGTCCGCTGATCACAACAAAGCGAGTGATGGAGTTGGATTCATCGCCGCTTTGAACAGTGTTCCAGTTTTATGACGGCGTGTCAGCTTGATGTGGGAGCAAAGCCCAATGCAGGTCACGGGTATGGTGCTGACAAACCTAGAAACATAATCGGGGCGTGGGGATTTGAACCCACGATCATAGGTTTCAGGTGTGCCCAAGGGACGCAACTCTTTACAGCAAATTGCGGCGCCTTAATTCCTTTATAAGATAATAATAGTGATCAATTCCTGTATTTTTGTTCTTTCTAAATCGCATTTACTACATGTCTGTCATGCTCTCTACGAAGATGTAATCTAAAAGTAAAACAGCTGGAAAAGAATTTAACAAAAACACACTGAAGGATATCGATATAACACGGACTTGATATAAACGGTTGTCACACTGGCAGCCTAGGTTTTCAATCAGAAGGGAAAATTGACACCCGCACGGACATCTCCTGCACGAAAATCGATTATTAAAATTTGAGTGACCTAAGTCAGCTCGGTAGGTATAGGCAACTTCGGTCAACCGCTGTCAACTCCATCTTTCTAAACCAATTGCATACACTACAAATAAAAAAAACCATCTATAGCCGGACAAATATTATACGGCGCCTCCACTTTCTTCAATTTTTTATTCAATAACAGTATTGATACATCATAGTGAATTTTCCTAATACATAGCATGCATAAGCACTTTCTATCATGATATCTCCCCACATGTACACACACGCCGTCAGTTATAACAATATTGGACTCAGATTTTGAAGGAATCACATGCTAATAAGGAAGAGAATATATGGATGTCAACTTCTTTATTATGAGGGACACAACGTTTCGGTGTATATGCTTACTCCTTCATCAGGTGAATGGATGCCATGAGGCAGAGAGCATATATATGTACATGTAAGGACAACATGTTGCTGAAGACCTTTTCTAACCGGGATCTTCATGGGTCCTCAACATTGTAAACGGAACAATTCAATGACGCATTACACTTAATTCTCCTTTCGCCTCGCGATCTGATATTAATTTCTGTTATGGTTGAGACATATAATTGAACAGGAAATACATGCATTGTGAATTTGGTTTACCACGAAGTCTATTCGTGATTCTAAAGGCGGCCTGGAATTCCAACACTTGCATTAGACATACCACAACAGTAATGAGACAAACGGGTTCGGATTTTGCTCCTCCTTGGCAGAAATTCTGTCTGAGGTGAAGGCTTATGTCTTGTGTCTACTTTCTAAGATAAAAGATTGTTTTGAGTTTTGATATTATAGCGTAAAATACCTAAATACTAAATAATAAGTAAGTTAGAGTCCAAATATTTAAATTCTTAAATAATTACCATTCAGACTATTTAAACGATACAATGTCCAGACATACACACTGATGATGATGTTGTTTTGACCTTATCAACATCCATACATAAAGTCAACATGATGTGGACAGCTAGAAAACTAATCACACTTATACTTATGTGTGTGTGCGTTCGTGCATGCGTGCGTATGTTTCTGTGTGCGTGTGTGTGTGTGCAAATTGTCAACTTTGTGAACTGCTTTGTGGCGACATCCGTTCTGCTACCATGACAACCATTGTTTATATTGACAACGGCATGCTCAGTCAACCACACACCCATTTGTCCGTGGTATCACCTACAACGACGCAACAAGGACAACAGTATATAAAGCAACCAATATATTCACGACATCGATCCCTAGCACTCCACCTGCATTGTTTACACCCATCTTCTCACACTACTTAATTCACCTTAACAAAGAGATACAGGCAAACTAGCCGGCATTATCAACCAAGCGAGACTTCACGGTTCAGGGGCTGTATGTAGACACAATGCCCGATGCACCAGTGTTTTAAATAATGAAAATGCTGGAGACAAAATGTTGATAGCGACAGCCGTCGCGCGACTGTCTTGCCAAACGTGTCCAATATAATTGATCACCACTGTTGGCAAAGTTTCATTCGTCTCGCCAGTCTCCATCGAAAAGGTTCGAGCGAGTTCGTCTTTGGCAGGTCACATACTGTTCTAAGCTCAACATGGTGAGTATAATATTGTAGTTACATCGTTAGCACTGTGTGATGCGACTGCTGTTGATATGGACGCCTTGGTGTTTTGGGTACATAGTTCTGACGCAGGACCAACATTGTATAACTTTAGACGCTCGCTGGCAGGTACTTGTGGCATGGAACTTCTATTGGCATTAAGGTTGATAAACCGGTTCTAGAACCTAGTTCTAAATTCAATCATGTAAATAATTCGACTTACCACGGCAGATATTTATTGTTATATCCAAAAGTGCCATCAAATAGGTATCGAGGGCGACAGAAGTTCGGAATCACATTCTTGATGACAATTAACAACATGAGTGGTTTGTTTAGCAGAGCGTCCCAGTTTTGGTCACGTGATGGGGTGTTGCGGAGAGTGTTTGCAGGCTTATGCAATGACTTATATCATGTCAATTAATATAAATAAAACTATACCTACAAGTAGTGTTAAGTCATGGAGCCTATCGTCTACTAATAGCGACATCGATATATGTTGTTTACTAGTTTGTCAGATCTAAGCCATAACCTTAGATCGGATTATTAATAAGGCAACAATGACTGAAATGAATATATAATGTCATTCTGCTGTTTGTCACGAGTGTCTGAAGTCTTGTATTTCCCGAGCGAGAGCGAGATTAATACATGAATTCTTACGCGAGGTTCGTAAAATCAGAATGATACACACGTAAGTCTAATAATTTCTTTATTATCCATTATTTCTTAATCCTTCTGAGCTCCCCTTTAGAAAAATGCACTGATCACCGCCGCTGTCCTAGAAAACCATAATTGGCCTAATAGTGACGTCAACAATCTTCAGCTATGGCGTCATTTCTGGAATATTAACAGAAGCGGGTGACCTCGCCTAGGTGAACACTACCAAGCTGACTGTCGTTCATTTCCCGATGAACGTCAGTATGTCACGTGATTACGTTGTCAATCGCGCGGAGACATCCTTTACTACTTTAGGGGAATTCCTCAATGTCTAAAAATAACATTAAAAATAATTAGGGAAAACTGAGAGCTACATCGATATAGGCTATGAATGATGCAGGCTTTGACGTCAGATCATGTCGGGTCACCGAAATGAACCGTCCATTCGAAGCTAGAACAGAGAATGCTCGACTTATCAAAAGAAATCACCAAGCTACACACTATCGTACCTCGGGAAATCCAACCGCGCCGCCTCAAGCGGTAATGGGCAGCCGTAGTATGACTCAAACACACACCAAAAGTTCACAGAACGTTAATATGTATCAGTTTTCAGCATGTGCCGGGTCTGTATTTCTTTCCAACGCTCATTTTACTGGGTGCAACTTGCATTTCAAACGAATGACATTGCGGTAGCCGCCATTTTCTGCCGTTTGTAAAACCAAGGGATGTCACTCCAAATTGAAAGTTTGGGACGGATGACGTCTCGACTCTCCGCGTTGATATAGTTCGCTTTCAATAATTAAAGTTTGATGTTTAATGGATTGTTTTATGATTTATGAATCTATCAATATAAGGATTGAAGTTGTAAATAATCGAGTCTGGACAAGACAATCCAGTGATTGACATCATGAGCATCGATCTACGCAACTGGGATGACATGCATCAACCAAGTCAGCGAGCCTGACCACCCGATCCCGTTAGTCGCCTCTAACGACATGCATAGTCGCCTCTTACGGCAAGCATTGGTTACTGAAGACCTCTTCTAACCCGGATATTCACGGGTACTTGATCCATAGAGGTCTTTTCACGCATAGGGTTAATTTCAACCTTATTCATTGTTCCAGAGGGAATGTATCTCCATCCACGTCGGCCAGGCCGGATGTCAGATGGGCAATGCATGCTGGGAGTTGTATTGTCTGGAGCACGGCATCCAGCCTGATGGTCAGATGCCCTCAGACAAGACCCTCGGGGGTGGGGACGACTCTTTCAACACCTTCTTCAGCGAGACTGGAGCAGGGAAACACGTCCCCAGGGCCGTCTTCGTCGACCTTGAACCTACAGTTGTCGGTAAGTGCCGTGTTTAGTGGATGATGTGTAGACTTTGTTCATTGTATGACGTCATACCTTTACTACTTTATTACTCTCTGATATGATATCTATAAATTAATACAGAAGTGTAAACGTCATCGTGGTGAATCTAAGGACGCAAACAGTGTGTCACTGACGCTACACGAAATTAATTATTCAATGACTTTTAAACATTCGCTTTAAAAGAATCGTTTCTTTTGTTATAAAAGATGAGGTCCGTACCGGCACCTACCGCCAGCTGTTCCACCCCGAGCAACTGATCACCGGCAAGGAGGACGCCGCCAACAACTACGCCCGTGGTCACTACACAGTTGGCAAGGAGCTCATTGACCTTGTCCTTGACCGAATCAGGAAACTAGCTGACCAGTGCACTGGACTCCAGGGCTTTCTCATTTTCCACAGCTTCGGTGGTGGCACTGGCTCCGGCTTCACTTCACTGCTTCTTGAGCGTCTTAGCGTCGATTACGGCAAGAAATCCAAGCTAGAGTTTGCTATCTATCCAGCTCCTCAGGTTTCTACTGCTGTCGTGGAGCCCTACAACTCCATCCTGACCACCCACACCACCCTGGAGCACTCTGATGTCGCCTTCATGGTCGACAACGAGGCTATTTACGATATCTGCAGACGTAACCTTGACATTGAGCGTCCAACGTACACCAACCTAAACCGTCTGATTGGTCAAATCGTCAGCTCCATCACTGCCTCTCTCCGATTTGACGGTGCCCTGAACGTTGATCTGACCGAGTTTCAGACCAACTTGGTGCCCTACCCACGTATCCACTTCCCTCTGGCTACCTATGCACCAGTTATCTCCGCCGAGAAAGCCTACCACGAACAACTCTCTGTCGCGGAAATTACCAACGCTTGTTTCGAGCCCGCCAACCAGATGGTGAAATGCGACCCCCGACACGGTAAATACATGGCCTGTTGTCTGCTGTACCGTGGTGATGTCGTACCAAAAGATATCAATGCTGCCATCGCCACAATCAAGACCAAGAGAACCATCCAGTTCGTCGACTGGTGTCCCACTGGTTTCAAGATCGGCATCAACTACCAACCACCAACTGTTGTCCCCGGTGGTGACCTGGCCAAGGTCCAGAGAGCCGCCTGCATGTTGGCAAATACAACAGCCATCGCCGAGGCCTGGGCTCGCCTTGACCACAAGTTCGACCTGATGTACGCCAAGCGTGCCTTCGTCCACTGGTACGTGGGTGAGGGTATGGAGGAGGGAGAGTTCTCCGAGGCCCGTGAAGACTTGGCAGCCCTGGAGAAGGACTACGAGGAGGTCGGTATTGATTCCGTGCAGGATGAACAGGAAGAAGGAGAGGAATACTAGACACGGACACCTTGGTCATTACAGCCACAGCGTTTTCCTTCCTTATTAACTATATGGATATTCTTTGAAAAAATAACATCCGTCCAGGCATATGTGATCTCTAGCTTTACTTATCAGCTTCTCTTATATGCAATCCAATCGCGTTCTTTGCTTATCCATCCTCGATGTTGTATTTTTATCAATTAGTGAGTGAGTTAGGCTTAACGCCGTTTTGAGCAGTATTCCAGTTATATCACGGCGTGTCAGTTTAATGTTTGAGGAAAGCCTTTCTCTCATAGATCTATACTCGGTTTTCCATATCCAGTCGAATTTACGCGCAAATCTGTCTTTCTTGTGTAAATATGGTCTCTCGGGACCATTGTTACTTAATGGATACCAGTGTTGATATACTGTATAGAAATGAATAAAGTATCACTATCATCTACTTCTACCATTTGTTTTGCTTTCCATCAACATTACAGAGGTCGAGATGGGGGTATGTGTCATGGCTTTTCTATTGTTCATTTATTCATTGATGGAGTCGACTCAGTGGAACAAGCTTTTGATTTTCGTTTGTCGGAGTACAATTAAATATACTACCGACAAAACACAAGGGAACTGATGAAATAGTAGTGAAGGTTCAATGACGATAAATGTCTGTAAAATAAATTTTGGGCGTGTAGATCACTATCAGGTGTGTCCACCATGTTTGGCGATACATATACAGTTATGTCACGGCGTCTCAGCTTACGCGGGAGGAAAGCCCGAAGCGATGCGACTGTAGACATCTATCAGTTTGGTGAAACCATCGAGCATGGTTATGGTGCTGACAACCAAGAACCATTCTACTTAGAATAACGACTGGTTTGTCTGATCCAAACTCCATTATTCACAGGACGTTGTGATACATTTGTGAAACGCTGGTATCCTAAACCTAATCTTCAATGCTTTGGATCTCTTCCGTAATGTTGGCCGCCGATACATTCAACAAAATATCTGATAGTTATTTAGCGCCAGTTATATCACGACGTTTCAGCATGATGTGGAAGGAAAGCCAAAAGTGACGACGGTCCATCAGTGAGTGAATGAGTGAGCATCGATTTGATTTGTAGGTGGGAGGGTGGGAGGTAATTTTATTTAGAACAATCTATTTTTCCCCAGCTAAAATCCAACAAACTTTGTATTTACAGAGCACGATCAAACAATCTAGTTATTTTCACCATTAACACAAACATGCATTGTCCACATAACAAATTATTCATTTTTTTCACCACTGCTAACTATTCATTTTGGAAATATTTTCTGAACAGACTATTCAGTTTAAACATTTTAGTCAACTTATCTTGAAAGGGATGGGTAAACAGGCCTAGCTGGCTTATGTAAATACCGCTTCCTGTTACATATTTACATTTACGTTAACATCAAACAGTAAGGCCAAGTAACAATACATCTTATATAATAAGAACAGGCATATAAACTTTATATATATTTATACTCAATGTACAAACCACTATTTTCTATAAAATGGTCAGGCATTAGTATGTTGTGGTTGACATCTCTTGTTAAATTGTTGTTACCATACAATGCTGTTTTCAGATCAAGACCTTTTATGTAGTAGTACACTGTGCTTCTAATGTGATGATAAGTAGGACAAGTAAAGAGGAAGAGAAGTGGAGACTCCAAATAAACATAAAAAACACACTGACAAGCTGACTATGTAATTACATATTATCAACAATGGCATTTATATCATAAGAAAAAGCAAAGGACCCAATACAGATCCCTGAGGTTCACCGGCTACTCTGTGTGATCGATTGGATATGGATCGATTTGTATAAATGAAACTATTCATTTACACCCCCACCCCCCTTCACTAACCCCCTTTAGAAATCACATGTATACTCCCTAAGTTGTTTTTAAGGCCGCTTTGAACAGTATTTCACTACCATCATGACGTATCGGCATACTGCAGATGCCTAGATTTGCTTGGCCTGTTTACCTTCATGTGTTCATGTGTTTTCCTCTGAGTATTCATATATTCATGAACCACGCGTGAAATATACGCGTGTGCTTGTTTCTTTTGCTACATATAAGTTATAAGTTAAAGAAAGCCGTTAAAGTGTCCGCTGATCACAACAAAGCGAGTGATTGAGTTGGATTCATCGCCGCTTTGAACAGTGTTCCAGTTTTATGACGGCGTGTCAGCTTGATGTGGGAGCAAAGCCCAATGCAGGTCACGGGTATGGTGCTGACAAACCTAGAAACATAATCGGGGCGTGGGGATTTGAACCCACGATCATAGGTTTCAGGTGTGCCCAAGGGACGCAACTCTTTACAGCAAATTGCGGTGCCTTAATTCCTTTATAAGATAATAATAGTGATCAATTCCTGTAATTTTGTTCTTTCTAAATCGCATTTACTACATGTCTGTCATGCTCTCTACGAAGATGTAATCTAAAAGTAAAACAGCTGGAAAAGAATTTAACAAAAACACACTGAAGGATATCGATATAACACGGACTTGATATAAACGGTTGTCACACTGGCAGCCTAGGTTTTCAATCAGAAGGGAAAATTGACACCCGCACGGACATCTCCTGCACGAAAATCGATTATTAAAATTTGAGTGACCTAAGTCAGCTCGGTAGGTATAGGCAACTTCGGTCAACCGCTGTCAACTCCATCTTTCTAAACCAATTGCATACACTACAAATAAAAAAAACCATCTATAGCCGGACAAATATTATACGGCGCCTCCACTTTCTTCAATTTTTTATTCAATAACAGTATTGATACATCATAGTGAATTTTCCTAATACATAGCATGCATAAGCACTTTCTATCATGATATCTCCCCACATGTACACACACGCCGTCAGTTATAACAATATTGGACTCAGATTTTGAAGGAATCACATGCTAATAAGGAAGAGAATATATGGATGTCAACTTCTTTATTATGAGGGACACAACGTTTCGGTGTATATGCTTACTCCTTCATCAGGTGAATGGATGCCATGAGGCAGAGAGCATATATATGTACATGTAAGGACAACATGTTGCTGAAGACCTTTTCTAACCGGGATCTTCATGGGTCCTCAACATTGTAAACGGAACAATTCAATGACGCATTACACTTAATTCTCCTTTCGCCTCGCGATCTGATATTAATTTCTGTTATGGTTGAGACATATAATTGAACAGGAAATACATGCATTGTGAATTTGGTTTACCACGAAGTCTATTCGTGATTCTAAAGGCGGCCTGGAATTCCAACACTTGCATTAGACATACCACAACAGTAATGAGACAAACGGGTTCGGATTTTGCTCCTCCTTGGCAGAAATTCTGTCTGAGGTGAAGGCTTATGTCTTGTGTCTACTTTCTAAGATAAAAGATTGTTTTGAGTTTTGATATTATAGCGTAAAATACCTAAATACTAAATAATAAGTAAGTTAGAGTCCAAATATTTAAATTCTTAAATAATTACCATTCAGACTATTTAAACGATACAATGTCCAGACATACACACTGATGATGATGTTGTTTTGACCTTATCAACATCCATACATAAAGTCAACATGATGTGGACAGCTAGAAAACTAATCACACTTATACTTATGTGTGTGTGCGTTCGTGCATGCGTGCGTATGTTTCTGTGTGCGTGTGTGTGTGTGCAAATTGTCAACTTTGTGAACTGCTTTGTGGCGACATCCGTTCTGCTACCATGACAACCATTGTTTATATTGACAACGGCATGCTCAGTCAACCACACACCCATTTGTCCGTGGTATCACCTACAACGACGCAACAAGGACAACAGTATATAAAGCAACCAATATATTCACGACATCGATCCCTAGCACTCCACCTGCATTGTTTACACCCATCTTCTCACACAACTTAATTCACCTTAACAAAGAGATACAGGCAAACTAGCCGGCATTATCAACCAAGCGAGACTTCACGGTTCAGGGGCTGTATGTAGACACAATGCCCGATGCACCAGTGTTTTAAATAATGAAAATGCTGGAGACAAAATGTTGATAGCGACAGCCGTCGCGCGACTGTCTTGGCAACGTGTCCAATATAATTGATCACCACTGTTGGCAAAGTTTCATTCGTCTCGCCAGTCTCCATCGAAAAGGTTCGAGCGAGTTCGTCTTTGGCAGGTCACATACTGTTCTAAGCTCAACATGGTGAGTATAATATTGTAGTTACATCGTTAGCACTGTGTGATGCGACTGCTGTTGATATGGACGCCTTGGTGTTTTGGGTACATAGTTCTGACGCAGGACCAACATTGTATAACTTTAGACGCTCGCTGGCAGGTACTTGTGGCATGGAACTTCTATTGGCATTAAGGTTGATAAACCGGTTCTAGAACCTAGTTCTAAATTCAATCATGTAAATAAATCGACTTACCACGGCAGATATTTATTGTTATATCCAAAAGTGCCATCAAATAGGTATCGAGGGCAACAGAAGTTCGGAATCACATTCTTGATGACAATTAACAACATGAGTGGTTTGTTTAGCAGAGCGTCTCAGTTTTGGTCACGTGATGGGGTGTTGCGGAGAGTGTTTGCAGGCTTATGCAATGACTTATATCATGTCAATTAATATAAATAAAACTATACCTACAAGTAGTGTGAAGTCATGGAGCCCATCGTCTACTAATAGCGACATCGATCTATGTTGTTTACTAGTTTGTCAGATCGAACAAGCCATAACCTAAGATCGGATAATTAATAACGCAACAATGACTGAAAGGAATATATCTATAACTGTCATTCTGCTTTTTGTCACGAGTGCCTGAAGTCTTGTATTTCCCGAGCGAGAGCGAGATTAATACATGAATTCTTACACGAGGTTCGTAAAATCAGAATGATACACACGTAAGTCTAATGATTTCTTTATTATCCATTATTTCTTAATCCTTCTAAGCTCCCCTTTAGAAAAATACACTGATCACCACCGCTGTCCTTGAAAATCACAATTAGCCTAATGACGTCAACAATCTTCAGCTATGACATCATTTCTGGAGTGACGTTATTCCGACTTTACGTCATAATAAGATTCAAAAAAGCCACCCGGATGACGGAAATAATACACTGGTGCGCGAGAAGTGATATTTGCACGAGTGCACATAAGAATGTTATGAACTTGGTTATTTCTAACCCTACGGATGATAACGATACTTATTCTTTGAGACACAGAGCGATGTGCCCGAGTAAAAGGCCTCCTAGACCAGTTTAAAAGGTTAACACACGACACGCGCAGTTCATACGAAAGTACACATTACGACCTATGGAACAGCAGCGCATCAGGCCAAGAAAAATGTCTCTAATTTCTGGCGATGGATTGAAACACTGAGTCGACGGGTCGTCTGTGTTGCACGTGCAAAACATTAAACGGGGCGTCACGTCATATGCGTTGGTGACG